GGACTCACCTGTGGGGTTAAACGTGTTTCTGCTCTGCTCCATGTTGTTTTTGTGAGGGCTGTGGGATGTCAGCTCCAGCTGACACGGAGGAGGAGGAGGTGAGGAGGAGGTGAGGACGGAGCTCAGAGGAGACAGAGAGCAGCTGAGGACGGAGGGAGACTCGCCGCAGCAGATAAATGTGAGTCTAACTTTAATTTGTGAAACTAATATTTCAAGGATTTTCAGGAAAAGATGGATTTCAGAGACTTCATGGCTCAGTGAGAGCTTCAGGTTTACACTAAAAGGTCAGTTATCAGAAACCCGTGATCATATTTTGAATACATTTTATTTTGAAGGCAGATTTAAAATGTTTTGGATGATTAGTCTGGGCGGTTTCTGACCTCCATACAGCAGCTCACACTGAGAACTGTCGCTGCTGTATGGAGGTCAAATAATGCCCGAATGACTACAGAAAAGCAGAAGGATGGCGCCTGTACAGACCTGTGGACATTCCTGCTGCTCTCTGATTGGCTGAACTGATCTCGGGGGGTGAGGTGTGAGGCGCAGCTGTGACTCTACGGTCAGAAGCTTTATTTAAAAAACAGCTGAAATTTTTCAGGCTGGGACTCTGAAGGACTTTCAGGTTTGATTGTGGCGATGCTTCGTCGCCTCACGTGTATTATTTGTTGTCTCTGCATCCGACGTCTCCATGACGACGGCATCGCCGCAGATTGTCCCCGTGAGGGAAACCAGCAGGACGCCCACGAGTCCAGCTGCTCGTGAAGGCTGACGGTTCAAATTCCACTCAGATCCCAGCGGAGACTCTGCGATCACGAACCTTCAAGAACTTTACAAACGTGAGAAGCTCAAGTTTGATTTAACAGAACGGGAACGCCATCGTTACCGCCACGGGGAGGAAAAGATTTCAAATACAGCTGCATTAGAGGCTTTGACACAACCTCAACAGGAAGATGATGCTCGTCTCTAAATGTGGGTAAAAGGAGACCTTTCACCTACTGTCACCTGCTCTGAGCACACACCTGTCCCACCTGCTGAGAAGAGCCTGAATGTTTCCCAGAATGCATTGCAGGCCTCAGACTGAGACTCATGCTGTTTTTAACACAGTTTAAATGATCTCCCTGGAAAAGTGATTACACAGAACCAAATCTGGACCAACCAATCAAATGTCTGCATGACATCAGCAACCAAATACACCGGCTTTACAGAAAGACGGAAAAATTAGAATCATGTGATCGTCATCATCACTTTTACCGCTGGTTGCACGCTGGTTTGCATTCTCCAATCATCACTCCTCTTATGAAGGTTGATGCAGTCCGAAGATTTATTACACAGCTGCTCCACAAGAACATTTCCTTTTATTTGCCTTGCTGAGTGTCAGGAGCGCCGGCCTCAGTGATTCCTCATGTAGTGCAGTAATAACCTGTTTTGTACATGGCAGAGGGAACCCCTCAGCCTCTGAAGGACACATAGCCGTGCTGTTGCTGCAGTAACAAGAAATGGTGCAAAGAATAAAGATTAAAGGCCAGATAATATCCAAACACCCGTTCTTTCAGCCCGAGCCTGTTTTACAATAATGACGCTG